ACTCAGTGAGGTTCAAACCACTGCAACCAAAATTGACAGTTCAGCACCTGACTACTAATTTATGGCCACCAAATTTCCCCCAGTAATCCTACAGACTTATCCACTTCAATGCTGTGATCACCCACATAACCATCCTGTCAACTGACAATTCCCAACCATGAGAATACAAAATGCAACATCTTCAGAGCAACGTATATTTAAATATCAATGGCAACAAAGAACACTCCAGGACATTTACAAAAGATACAAAAGACAAGAAATAACAGTATCAATGAATTCACAAAACTGTAGAGCTTATCAAGTGTAGAAATAAACAGCATCCAAATAATAGCCTGAAACCATTTACGCTTTGAACAAGTCACTTAGGAATAGCAGTGGCACAGTGTGCTGGCCTCACAACACAATGGGCCCAAGTTCAATTCTTAGCAGAAGAAAAAAAGATTTTTCCTAATCAGTAAGTATAGTTTGGAGTTCAAAGCAGCCTAATAAAATCAGTACCCTTTAAAAGGGCTTTTTGGTCCAGCAAATCTAACATCAGCTAAATCATTATATGAAATGTGTCTTACGGGGGCAGTGGGTCTACTGTAAATTCCCCCCCCCCCCCCATGGGGGCCCTAAAGTCACACACAGATCTTGTATGGTAAACCTAGGCTCCACTGAACTGCCCAGTCAAGTTAGTAAAACAATCAAACAGGAAGACAATGTTGCATCTACATGACCATGACTCAATTTCTTTTAAATGAAACACATGGATTTACATTTAAAGATAACTATTGTCGAGTAAAAGTAGTGGTGCATGGGGCACATCAAGATAGACTCATGTTTTTTATTGGCCAATGTCCCTCAATGGGTGATGTGGTCAACATGCCCCAGTAATCAAATAACCAGTGCCAGATTGGTACACAAAATATTTGTATTTATGCATATAGGAAACTGCAGGGAACCCTAACACATTCACACAATGGCAGGATTTCTCAAGTTAGACCACTCTAAATGTACCTGAAAATAATCATACTTCACACAGATATTGAGCTATTTAAAAATTATGCAAACTGACACTGAAATTATGATCCACTTGGCAAATCTGACAGGGAGAAAAACAGACTGATGACAAATTATGAAACACCATATCCATATACATCTGACAACAACAAATACTAATAACAATATTGTATCTGTAACGATTAACTCTTTAGTTACAGGATAGGCAAGCGAGCAGTTTCAAGAGAGGGGATAAGAGGCTGGCTACATGAAACTTTGTCAGTGTCGGCGGCTCAGGCGTTGTGAACGCACTTCGTAATGCCTGGCAAGGTCAAACACCTGAATGTGAAATTTACCTAGAAAAACCACAACAGCCAAAAAAATGGTGTTGGTTCTGCAACGTCCTATATAGGGAATGCAACTAACTACATGATACCGGGTGAGGAAGCAATAACTGTAATTACCATTGTTTATAGTGGTGTAAGACAGGGGAGAAGGGTCCTAAGCCTGTCCCACGATAACCCTTTAGAACAACAGCTCATGACCTCACGAGAATTGCGTTTACCAAATTAATTAATTTCCCTTTTTTTTTTTCAAAATATATGCGACATAAAAATGCATTATCAATAAACCTGTTATATAACTGAATGCACGATTTAGTATACACACCACCTACAGAGTTTCACAAATGGACAGTGCTTTCCTTCATTCAGACACTTTTTAAATATCTATAATTCGAAAGTTAAAAAGACATTTTAAATATCTGAGTGAAAGTTTTTAGGACTGAACGAAACAGATCCTTTCCTAATGATGTCTCCCTCTTTCTAAAGTAAAAAATTGAATGTTTACAAACACAGAAAATAGAAATAAGATAACCAACAGAACTGGTCACTAGCTTCTAATGGCTACCAAGAGTATTGATCACACCATTGTACTGCTGTGGATCCTGCTTTTTCCATAGCAATAATTGCAATCCATATCCTAGCTTCCCACACCCCTCTTCTGTTTTCAAAAACAAGCCCAACAAAACTGATATGGTCCTCCTTTACCATGTCTACGAAAATGAGGTGACACAATTTCTTAGCTAGTTCATTCCTCACCTGCAGAGGTGTCACCATCTTTCTGCCTGCTCCGGGTTTTTTTTTCCTATGGCCTACAATTCTAGTGGTGGACATTTTATTTTGATGTTTTCAACAGCTGCCATTATGCATTTTATGTTAGGACATGTGCTATTATCTTTTCCAAGACTGCAGCCTATTTCCATTTTTTTTTCAAGCGACTGAAATGGGCATTCTATGGTTGTATCCTCTCACACAGGAACGGGTGACCTGTTTGTGGGGTGACCTGTTTGTCATTTAGTTGGAATTGTGACTGACTGACTTGTACAGATAAGTATTTATTGCTTTCTAGCTCAAATCAATGGGGAAAAAAGGGGGTTAATTAAAGTGTTTCAAGGAAAGACAGAATACGAAATCAGACGAATGCTAGGAATAAAGCCAGTCTTACAGGTCATTAAAGAACAACAAATGAAGTGGTTTGGACACCTAACACGAATGCCCTGGTACTATCTGCCACAGCTACCCACACTAAAACGTTACAATGGGTATAGAGCCAGTGGAAGACCCTGAAAAATATGGAGTGATGGCATTAAGAACAGCCTTACAGAAATGAACATTAGTCTTAATAGTGCTCTTGACAGAGCTCATCAATGAATATTACATCTCCCCCAGACACTTCAATGAGGTACAAGGTGGAAGAGAAGAAGAAGAAGAATTAAAGTAACAAGTGTTTGGGGAATGAATGAGTTCACACAAGTGCCACAATAGTAAGGTCACCAGCTTGCTCATGTACTCCACACATACCACACAGTTTTTTACATATCAACAGAAAGAAGACCACACATTTCAATGGTGATGACTACGGAAACAAACAAGAACATTATTATTTCAAACAAATCTTTCATGCAATAAAAAATATATTTAAAAACAATTGAAAAAAAAATCTCTGGCATGTATGTCCCTTTTTCACCTGCCAGCATTTTCCTAAACACTAGCAAACTTATTTCTCATGAAATGAATTATCTTGTATAACACATTATGTTCAGGGTGTTGTTAGTTCACCCTATCAAAAATGAACATGTTTAACATAGCAATGTTGACTTCAACAAAAATAGGATTGGTGTCAATGTTCAATTTACAAAGGGTAACCAATATTTACAACATTAGTAAGTAGCCAAACAGCATCAATGCTGTACTACCACGAATGATAACGCAACCAGTGGTAAACAAATGAAAACTTTTTGGCAGAACAGCGGGTGAAAAGCTACACAAATGACTAATAACTCCAGACATGAACCAGCCAAATGCAGCCAAACCAAGTTTTTACAAATCCGCTGAATCATGGTCTGGAATGATATTTGACATGGGCAAAAACAACTAAAACTACACACTTCTTTCCTCACATTCCATTCCTGAAAATTCCTGGCTTCAAATTTAACTTCAACAGCTCAAAAATGATTTATACAATCTGAGCTGTAACAACATTGAGATATTACAATGAGAGTTTTGAAAATCCGAGAAGTAACCACCTGAGATGCTGAAAACTGAGATGTAATAGCCTGAAGTTACAATCTAAGACGTAACACCTATATGTGATGTTACACACTGAGATATTTACAAGGGGGGATTTTACAGTTGCAAATTTCAGAACAAGGGAGCAATATTTAAAAACCTTGCGCTTATCCAACGCTGATTTCCATGTTTCTTCAACTCATCCTATCATTCCCCAAAACAAAACCCTGCATCATCAACTGAATGCTTAAGAAAAATGTATGTATATGAAACATAACATGCACACACATAAGATCTGTACAAATATACAATGTGCCACACTTGTGTTCAGAACACCTGGTCAAAATCTACAAGTCTGATCACACCCACTGGTGCTGCTGCTGCAGCGGCATCCCAAATCCCAACAGCCGTGTGACTTACTTTACGCTGTTGTTTCATCTTGTATTTCATTGTTCTTACTGATTCAAAATTCATGGTTTTTGTGAGATCAAATGATTCACCTTCAGGCATTGTTTCACTAAGCCCTGATTACTGTTTCAACCAGCATTTTACTGAGCCAAGATTATTGTTTCATTTACTGAGCCCAGATTACTGTTTCAGCCAATGTGAAACTAAGCCCAGATAACTGATTCAACCAGCATTTTGATGAGCCTAGACGACTGTATCACATTGTTTTAGTGAGCCTAGATTAGTGTTTTAACCAATGTTTTACTGAATCCAAATTACTGCTTCAAACACATTTTTACTGAGCTCAAATTACTGCTTCAAACACTTTTTTACTGAGCTCAAATTACTGCTTCAAACAATTTTAAATCATTAAAACTCAGCCCAGGTTGATATTTTACTGAGACTGGATAGTTTCAACAAGATCTGGCTGACTGAAATAGATTACTGTTCCAAACTATGATAAAGGAGTTTTGAGGGAGCTGAAATCACCAACTGTTCACATGGATGTCACATGGCATGCTGAGTTCCCTACAACCAATAATCTTGGCTACTCTGAACAAAGACCAAGCAACTGGCAGCTGATGCTAAACAATGCCATCTGGTCACAGTAAACACATTTTGCTTCTCAAACAGTTGAAAGTCACACGATAGAGGAAACAGTTCAAACTTAAAGATAGCAAAAGCGAACTCCCAATCAGTACCTTATACAGGCTTATTGCAGCTTATATGCAAAAAAAATAATAATAATAATAACATGTATTACTACACAAGAGAAAAACTTGCAGGAATATTGCTTGACTTAAGCAGAAGTCAAATTTCTCTAACTTTGTCTATCTACCTGCATTTTGAAAATTTTTTAAGAAAAAGTAATCTTTGTTAATGGTCAGTCAGGCAGGCATAGGATCTCTGACATCACATTCTAAACCTTGAAATCACATCGCAAATTTCTGAAGACACCACATGAACCTTATCTGGAAGAAACAACGAAGGAAAATCTGGTGCTCAATGTTTCGCCTTGGCCTGTCCATCTGCTGCCATGCGCCTGAACTTTGACCCATCTGTTGTACCAACAGGCACTGGCAGGCCTGACCCCTTAAAGCTGATTCGTCCACCTGAAGAGGGTGTGGCCAACCGATCACTTGCCCGGCTATCACCTACAAGAGCTTCCTGCGATTCAGAACCCTTTGTCGCCAGCGAGAGCCGAACTGGAAGCCGCTCCTTGCCCCTCCCAGAATGACCTCTAACATCTGAACGAGAGATGTAGTGAATAAAAAAAATGGTGTCAGTGTGACGACAGTATTATTTCATCCTGATATTATTCCAACATTTACTCACATGTTCTGTCATGAGATGTGGTGTGTGAGTTTTCCCGCCACTACTAAAGCCCACTGAATGCACGTTAAGTGTGACACAATCCTTTAAGTATGATCTCTTCTACTTCATGAATGTGATTTATTCTGCAACCTTATAGGAAACTTCAAGTTCATCCTAAAGGAGATGTCATAGGTAAAGGTTAGCCTATGACTGTGACAGCCAGTAGTCTAGGTCTGCTAGGTTTCGGTCTTCATATATGTCCCACAGCAGCATTATCAGATTAACAGCAGCCTTTCTTTAATCATCTTCCCCCCCCCCCCCCCAATCTAGTTTCAGTAAGCACACAAACTGGCATAAAAGGGTTGGTGTTAACCTAGCCAGATACAGGTGGGGTCAAGAAAGCCTGGCCTAATCAAAATTATTTGTGGAGTCTGGAGGGACAGGCAGTACTGCCTACAGTCCAATGTTATTTCCATGAAGGCGCAGATCCAATTCAGTGACTGCAAGGACCCAGAGAGTGAGTCACTGCTAGAGATGGTTGCAACAGATAGTCAACATGTGGCATAGGACAAGGACAAATACTTCCCATATGGAGATGGATTGCTAACTCTTTCAGTACTAAGAAAGGCATCAATACATTCATAGTTTCCTACCTAGAAGCCCAATGAATGCAATATGAGCTGATTTTACGTCTGTTTTTTACTACCCCATTAGGTGTCTGATGCTAAACCCACTGGGACTCAAAAGAGTTAACAGCCACTGACACATATACTTAGTTTAGCAGACAGAAAAGGATTGACATTTTCAGAAATGTCATTCTAAGGGAAAATGTTATGAAAAAAGGAAGAATGTGTACTTAAACTAATACAAAAATGAGGCTGTGATTACAGTGACAAGAACTAGTTTGGTAAGTTGATCAGACACCCTAAATAGGCTGTGATTACAATGAAGAGAACTAACTTTGTAGATGACAGTTGAACACTCAAAGTGGATCTGTGATCACAATAACGAAAACTAGTATAGTAAGTTGATCAGACACCCAAAATGAGACTGTGATTACAATGATGAGAACTTAGTAAGTTGGTCAGAAACCTAAAATGAGGCTGTGATTACAATGATGAGGATTAGTATAGTGAGTGAATCAGAAACTCAAAATGAGGTTGTGATTACAATGATGAGAACTAGTAAGTGAACCTGAAATCCAAAATGAGGTGATTACAATGATGAGAACTAGTCTAGTTAGTGTGTGGACAAGTCAGTCAGACATCCTAAAGGAGGTTGTGATTACAATGATGAGAACTAGTCTAGTGTGTGGACAAGTCAGTCAGACATCCTAAAGGAGGTTGTGATTACAATGATGAGAACTAGTCTAGTGTGTGGACAAGTCGGTCAGACATCCTAAAGGAGGTTGTGATTACAATGATGAGAACTAGTCTAGTGTGTGGACAAGTCGGTCAGACATCCTAAAGGAGGTTGTGATTACAATGATGAGAACTAGTCTAGTGTGTGGACAAGTCAGTCAGACATCTTAAAGGAGGTTGTGATTACAATGACGAGAACTAGTCTAGTGTGTGGACAAGTCAGTCAGACATCCTAAAGGAGGTTGTGATTACAATGATGAGAACTAGTCTAGTGTGTGGACAAGTCAGTCAGACATCCTAAAGGAGGTTGTGATGTACAATGATGAGAACTAGTCTAGTGTGTGGACAAGTCAGTCAGATTTCAATCCTAAAGGAGGTTGTGATTTTTTATTATGATGAGAACTAGTCCTTTTTGTTAGTGTGTGGACAATCAGAGTCAGACATCTTAAAGTTTGGTTGTGATTACAATGATGAGAAATAGTCTAGTTAGTGTGTGGACAAGTCAGTCAGACATCCTAAAGAAGTTGTTGTTGATTACAATGATGAGAACAACTGTCTAGTTAGTGTGTGGACAAGTCAGTCAGACATCTTAAATGAAAGTTGTGATTACAATGATGAGAACTAGTCTAGTGTGTGGACAAGTCAGTCTCAGACATCTTAACTGGAGGCTTGTGATTACAATGATTACCCAGAACTAGTCTAATGTGTGTGGACAAGTCAGTCAGACATCTATAAACAGGTTGTGATTTTCAAATGACTAGAGAACTAGTAACAGTGTGTGGACAATTCAGTCAGACATCTTAAAGGAGGTTGTGATTACAATGATGAGAACTAGTCTAGTGTGTGGACAAGTCAGTCAGACATCTTAAAGGAGGTTGTGATTACAATGACGAGAACTAGTCTAGTGTGTGGACAAGTCAGTCAGACATCCTAAAGGAGGTTGTGATTACAATGATGAGAACTATTAAGTAAGTTAGTCAGAAACAAAAAATGAGACTGTGATTACAAAATCCGGTTGTATTTGTTCCAGTTATATTTTACGTCCCTCCGTTGAGCTTTCAAGTTTAATTTTACATTGTATTTAGCACTTCTTGTTGTAAGCTGGACTGCAACCTCCCCCTGTTTACGTCATAACATATGACAGAGCAAACGAACAATCATTCTCTATTCCAAGCAGTAGTAAACATGATGCACCTGCTCTTGTTTGTTTCCTTATTTACAAATTACCACACATACAGAAATAAGTAATGTAACCAAAATACATTTATTGTTCCTTGATTTAAAGTTGTAAAATTATATCAAAAATAATAGTAACATTAACAGAAAACTTTTTCTAAACCTACTAATTTCCAGAGCAGAAAATTTTACACAATTTTGTTAACACCAAAAACAAACAAATTGAATAGATGAAAACCACGTTCAAAATGCACAATTCACCAAATAAGTTTTGCAAATGCAGGAAAAACTTATAAACATATTAACAAGAAGGGTCACAGCTTTTTACCACACACACACACAAAAAAAGTGCCAACAGAGGTGCTACTGTTAATGATCAACTACAAAATAAAATTTCTTGACATCTAAAATGCCAGTGCAATGACTGCACTTAAGGTAATATAATCATTTAAACCTGTAACTTTGTAACAGTGCCTTATGTCACTGCTGAGATTCCCTTCTGATGAAAGGCTCCAGGCCAATATAAATCACTTGTTGGTTTCATGTGTAGGGGATCACCACCAACGTACACAAATACCTCCACATGTACTCATTCTCTTCCATAAATCACACCAGGAAAGAATCACAACTGTCATCCAGTGTCTATTGCCTGTAAGTACCACTTTTTTTAGGGCAGTGCAGCACAGGTTTTGAATTCAAGGATTGAGGGTCACATGGCAGGGGGCGGTGCTGACTAGTATTTTACTTATGTATCCAATAGAAAAGAGAATCAAAGCTGGGTATCTCAAATAACCACTGTCCATCGTTCTTAACCTCTCAGCAAAGTCCCCGTACAACACTTACCACAAGGCACCAGTTGGGATGCAAGAAATTTAAACACTGTAAATAAATCTACTGTGGACAAATCTAATTCTAATGACTCATTTACTAAAAAAAAAAAAAAAATCTTCTTAAAAGCATTTAGAGGGGTTTTACTATGGGAAAAAAACTGCTTTAAGAGAAATTATAATATTTTCCCCGTGGCCAATGTTGACCTGTGACTGGGTCAGGATGTTAAAAAAAAAAAAAAAAAGCTGTTGCTGTAAACATTTTTTTTTTACTCATAGATACGTGACCCAGTTAATTCTGCAGCATACACTTCATGTTAACTGATGACTCCCTGTATTCTGTATGTAATTTAATATTTGTTTGGTCAAAAACTGGAAATGTTCTGATTTTTGTGTGTGTGACCTGTATAAAAGAGCCATTTTTTTAAAAAGAATTTTTGGGGGGATTAATTAATTATGGTTCATATGCACTGTTGTTGGTTTTATTTAACTTTATTTAAAGATACCGGGGCAACTGGATTAACAAACCCATCGGGGTGCAACAATCAGTCCCTCATGATGGCAAAGGTTGACCAGCATGAAGATGGGCAAAGGTCACTAGAGATATCTTTGGCATAAAAAACAAACAGGGGAACTGGCAAGTGGCCTAGATTCTTAGTGATGCGCTGTGACAGCAACAATGTTTTGCAAAGGACCTTCTACATGATGAAGACCTTAAGTTCTTCAGAAAACTGTTTTAAAAAAATATGCCGGTAGAATAAACACTGCTGACAATGTTCCAGCAATTCTATACCTATAAAAGCGGTTATTAGAAATGTGCAATGTTTCTGTTTCTACAAATATTACAGGTTCTCTGACTTATGATTTATGCAAACAATCAGTTTATCACCTATACTTGTTACATAGTTAGTAAAATTACTGGATCTATGTACCATTCCCAATAACATATGTATGTGCACGTGCAATACTGGCTATTCAAAAAATGCTCAAGCACTCATCTGCTCTACTTGTTAATTCGCAGTTAATGAGTTAAACAATTGTAACATGCCTCAAAGGGAGCTCTATAAATTAACAGGATAGAGAAAGAAACCAAAATCAATACAATGGCCACTGTTGCAAATAAAAAAAAAAAGAGGGTAACAAGGTAACAAGATATACACGAGCAGCAGAATATATCATATCAATCAAGTTAGTACGCTTTTACAGTGATACACATCATGCACAATGCTGAAATAGGACTTTAATGAGAGAAAAAAATGTTTCTTCTACAGCTGGGTTCTGAAAAACAATGGGGGGGTGGGGGGGGGGGGGGGGGGGGGGGGGGGGGGGGTTAACAACCTCCTGTTCTCCAAAATAAAATGTTTAAAAAAAAATAGGAATTTGCTGAAACAGAATGTGTTGGGCTGAAAGGCGCAGATATCGCAGCTCAGCTGTAAACCACTGAAAGTTGCAGCTATCACAGCTAGATGTAAACCAGATGACAACCACCCTTTTAAGAGTAGATAAAGAAGAAGACCTGTTTATCTATCAAAATAAAATGAATGTGCATCGTCTACATAAATAATGTTTGTCTGTATTATCTGATGAAATAAAACTTATATTAGTTCTGATTAGACTGATAAGTCTACCTATCATCTATTAAAATAGGACAAGTTACTTGCAAATAAAAAAATTTTTATTAAGCAGATGTGTGTTTTCTAATGAAGTACACTGAGTCTCTTATTTAGTTAAATCAGACTCCTGTGTGCTACCTACCAAGATAAGATTTATGTTTATTGAAATAAAACTGCTCTTTGTGTTATCTACTAAAATAATATTTGTCTCTGTGTGCATTTGTTCACAATTATATTTGTATGGCTGCACACTTACCCTGATAGAATGAATTTGTGTATATACTGAATTTTCACACAATTGTGTTTATACTGAAATAATACTTGAATGTATATCAACTGAAAAAATTTGTATGTATATTAACTGAAATTAAAGTTGTATGTATATTAACTGAACTTATACTGTGTACCAAGCCTGATAAGAAACTGTGTGTGTGTATATAAACAACATACTGGACTACAGGTTACACCGTAACCACCAGGTGCCCCAATATAATTGTGTTTTAGCATTGAACAGGGGTCTGTAGGATTTGTACCTGTTATTATGTTTTGTTATGACAAACAATGTCTTTGCACATTGGGCATCCCCATGCGCGCTCAGTCCTCCAATGCAGCTGCCAACCCAAGGTACCTCTAGTAATTGTTCCCTTGAGAAAACGGTTATAGTATCTCCTGTCTTTACCTTGAAGACGACATAGACGTGTTTCACCAAGCTTAACTCCTCGGTCCATGTGGTCCTGTTAGTGTAAGAGATTTGTCATAATCCCACAACCTAGTCCATACAGTGTTGATATCAGCTCTGTCCATGCATCTTTTCATTTGATTGTTATCCTTGAGACGTAGTTCTGATTAAGATGCAGTGTGCGCACGTGCATGTGTGTTTTGTCTTCCCCAGTGAAATTTGACAATGCACCAAATACCTTTTACCCAGAGACTAACCATCACCAGTAATCACAAGGTAAACTATTAAAAAAACTATTGAAAATCAAACTAGGCAAGAGAGTAGCCAACAGTATCAGATCTGTCAGCTACACCAAAGGATTGGAATCACAACCTCTAAATGAATCAACACTTTCCCTAACCCACAACAGAAAGGTGGCTGTCTGTCAGGTCTCAAGTGGTCAGAGACTGATCTAAAACAGAAAAAACACATCTACCTTGTCAGGACAAGCAGGTTGTGCTAAGGTGACATCCACAGTTCAGCAGACATACTCCCATGTTCATTAACGGAAACTATAAAACTTAATACCAACCACATTAACAATAACGCATTCACCTTCTAAAAAACACACACACACACAATCATCATTCAAGTCCACAAAAAATGTGCAGTTCTACAGAGTATGACTTATGAATACTTTAACAAACATACCACAGCCACACATTTAAGATATAGTTCTGTTTTCTTTTTTTTCCCCGGCCTTTTACTCTCCAGTGTCATGGGTTTGATTCCAAAAAAAGCAGGAATAATTTTTTCCCAAAACCCAATCTTCAACGGGTATCAGGTAAAGTCACAGGAAGTGAAGATAGCCATCATGTTATTGACCAAATCACCCACCAAGTGCTGACTGGTCTATAAAATATAGGTCTAGCCCTATATGCCTAACACACCTAAGGTGTAGGAAAGGGTCTTTTACTTCATCCTCCAGTGAAGGATATCATAGCGACAGTTTATCATAATCCTCTGCTAGTGCATTCAACCCATTCCATGCCCTCCCCATTTTTTATCCCATTCTCTATCTTCTCAGTGTACTTTTTTAAACTCCTTTATTCCTCTGACTCCAGAGTTTCCAGAGGTTGTACATTCTGGTTATATTATCAGGCTTTCTCAAAGTGACCTATTCAGTACAGACTTCTTTTCCTAACCACTTTGTTCATAAATTCAACAGAATAAACATACAAACACAGATAATTCTGTTGTGATATGACTTAGCACCTAAAACTTCCACTATCTTACAATTACACACAAAGATTTTGTTGAATAAAGTCATCTATGAAAAACGGGCTGTTTTGCGTACCAATACATTTTTCCAAAGCTTGTGTTTAAAAAAATTAAAGAAAATATCAGGATCAAATAAATATTACAAATTCTACAAGGGTTTACATTTTCGACCGAAACAAGAACACATACAAATTCTTGCACACAGTACAGAGGTCATCAGATTTACAAAACAAATCTTAAACATGTGATTTGGCAAGGTCAATGCCAGTGGATTAATAGCTTTCAGAAGGTGACATACAAGATCTACAGAACGCAGCAGATGTCAAGTCCACATAAGTCATAGCACCTATATATTTTGTTAAGCAGCAGACTGTGTGTGTGCATGTGTGTAAGTGTGATAAATGCAGCAGTGTGTGTTTGATTTAAAGACAGCAGTGTGTGTTTGAAAGTAGGTGTGTTAAAGGAAGCAATATGTGTTTGATAGCATGTGTGTGTGGTAGCACAGTAGACTACGTGAATCCGGACCAGGATTTCAATTCCCAGTTTTTTTCTAGTTTGTCTCTGTTGAACTGACTGCTTGAATATCCTGGCTGCATTTCATGTCACTACCCAACAAAAAGATGAGCACCAGATAAAGTCACATGCAGTGACTAACTTGGCTTCAAGATTTAAATAAAATGACTGCCTTTCAAATGTTTTTTCTGTCCACCTTGGGAGACTTTAAGGTAGTTAATCCAATGGCCTGACTACATGACCTGCTTAGCAGATTAATTCTAAATAATGACTTACCAAACCGGTACATGCCTACTGCCATTTAATACTTTAATAACTCCCTCTTTCTATAGATCACTCAAATTTTTAGGGTATTTAATTTTAGAGAAACTAACTGCAAACCCAACCATATTTACCTGTCATCAACCATGTTGTATCATCACCAACAATATTTTAACTACGCATTCCCAAACACTCAGAATACAACATTCATCACAAAATACTGTCCCATTAACCGCACACAAAGATGCATTCTCAAACAGAATACAATGAGTCGAAATGTTGTGCGAAAGAGGTTAAAGAGGCAGGTGCCAGGAAAGAATACAAAAATTATATGTTCAATATGCCAACAAGCACTAGGCTGTTATCATATATGGGGTTACATATATGTGCATGTATGTGCGAGCTAAAAGAGCGTCTGGCCGTGCTTCCAGGTTATTGTAAAAAATACAAAAAAAATTGTACATACAAATCAAGTGGGACTGAGAGGATCTTTAACTTTACAGGACATTGGCTGAGAAAAGGTGAAAACACAAATTGCTAGATTCAGATCTGACATGAATGAGACTACAAACAGAAAACCAGGACACAACATACACCAAGTCTATGCTACTTGTAAACACATCAACAGTAGTACAATTTCAGGGGAACAAGATGCACATGGATTCAGACAAAAATCAACTGTGTAAAACCTGATTATGCTCAGTGGCTGCTTCCTGTATATTTTATCCTATTCTCATGTAAATAGGGAAACATTACTTGAAGCAACCAAGCCGATTAAAAAAATTTATGTTTAGAAAAAAGCCCAAATTAGTAACTATCATTTTGAAAAAGGTTAAATACCAAGCTTCAAAATGTTTTTTAAATGCCCCTGTCCCAATCTTGCAAATCAAGTTTTACCAGCAAAACTGACCAGAACTGTACCGGAATACTTACTATTAAAGTCTCCTGAGTTGGTCCCTGGTTGAACTGCCATCTGGTCAGTGCGTCGAGGCAGCGCAGTAGTTGGCATGGCTCGAGCAGCAGAACTGTGCATTTTTCTCTCTCGTTCCATCTCTTCTGTACCTCTCCCTCCCTTTAGGTGATAAACAGCATTCACTAATATCAGAGGCAAAACACTGGCAGCTTAAAGCCAAAATAATGAGTTTATACAAAATATAAGAGTCTTTACCTACCTTTGTATGTAATAAGACAGCCAATTAAAAGATAAAACAGTATAGAAAATAAATATGAAGAAAACAATGCATAGTGACCATCAGACTATGTAACTTCTATTGCTGGAATTTATTACTTTTCAAAATCAGTCACAATACAATCATCAATTTCTTTTGTCATCTCATTGATACTAGGCTGCGGCTCAGTGTGGCAGTTTTCTGTACTAGTCTTGAGCTTCTTGGGTGGCATGGGCAATGAATTTGTTAATCATTTCTTGCAGGTTTTAGTTATACCATTTATCTGTCTCTTTCCTGGTTTTCCCCCCTCGTATTCCTCCTAGATGTTTTTTTGTTTAAAAAAAAAAATTATATGTTCGGTCTAACTGCATTCTCAGTAGATGGCCAGACCATTTCATTCATTGTCAATATAATTTAGTCATGGTCTTATTATAACTTTCCCTCTAATACTGATGATATTCATAATTCTGTTCCTTCTTGTGTTGTCAGTGCCCTTACAAAGGCAGCACATTTCACAGATAGTCATGTTCTGTTTTAGTGCCCTACTCAATGTCTATGTTTGGTACTGACAGCATAAAGTCTTCATGAAGATGCTATTAATCATTTGCTGTTTTGCTGGAAGAAGACATTTGGGTGTCTAGGCTGTGGGCTAGCTGGTAGGTGACAGCACTTGCCTTCTGTACTCTAGCTACTCTATCTCTCTATCAAGTCTGCAGTCTTCGTTAAATATGCTTCCTAGATATTGGAATTCTTGTACTATTAACATGCGCGTTCATGCTATTATGTTTCCTGCCTATTCTTATTACCCCAGTTTTCATGTTTCTTTTCATATCACACTTTGTGCAGGTTTGATATAAGGAGACAATATGATGTAAATTCTGTTCTTGGTAGTGTATTAAATATTAATCATCTGCAATTGATTTCTTCAGTGTCTATTTGTCTCCTGTGTGATTCTAATCTTGAAGAAAAAGTATGGTTCTGTTTAGATTTGAATCGACGACTTTTGAATCCGCAGGTAAGGGTCTAGCTGCTATACCGAAATTGCTCCCAATCTGATATTAAAGATGATGTATTTTCTCTGATCATACACTCTCCAGTGTTCTAGTACAGTTTTGCGCCCAAAATGTGCATTAAATTTAGACACACGACCTGTATTTTATGAGTTAACATTTCAGTACAAAGCAATGCACTCTACATTTCTTGATCATTCAAGACATAATACAGTATTCTTATTATACTCTATTATTTTATAGAGAATATAGTATTTTTATTATCCTCTATTACAGACATATGCAACGATATTATCAGACAAAACGTAGGAACAACCCCATGCAGCAAATTCATTGAGAAACAGAAGATCAAATGGTTTGGTCATTTAGAAAGAATGCAGCCAGAACAACTACCAATGCAGGCGCTACATATTAAAGGACCTGAAATGAAAGCAAAAGGCGGTCCTAGGAAAAGATGGATTAATGACATTACAGAGCTTCTATATCGACACGGAATGACAGTTGTCATTGCTGACCATCAAGCAACTGTTCCTCCCCACAACACTTAACGGCATAAGTGGATACTTATGATGATGACAGACATATGCTTTGTTAACTCTTTTTTTTTAACTAAATTATGTTGAGGATGGTCTCTATTGAATGCAATCAGACCAAGAATGTACTGCTTTTAATTCCCTCCTTGAGATATAAGGAGTTAAAGTGGCAACTGCTTGGAACTCAAAGAGCTAATAATAACAACTAAAAAAAAGGTTGAATAATACCTTCCATTTGTTAGTGATAACCTTAAAACATTAAAATCTAAGCCTCTGGACTTACAAATTTGAGCATGTTCCAGTCAAAAACATAGTCATATGTGAAGCCTTGCCGATGGAATAGGTTTCTGAATAGCTGTCGAAGGTAGGAATAGTCTGGCTTGTCGTCGAATCTCAGAGATCGACAAAAATTTAAGTATGTGGCAAATTCAGCTGAAAATAACAGAAACAGAAATCAGCTGAGCTCACAAGTAGCGATGCATACTAATGTAACAAATACAGACAATAAACTACGCTGGAAAAGTGTCTCTATTTAGGTCTGTGTAAGTAAAACACAACTGATATTAATAACGCACTTTCCTGTCTGTTTTATGGTATCGATTCTTATTCTTGTTTCGTCCTCATATCAGACACCAAAGGTGGGTGATTATATAATCGTGAAGAAAACATAAATATTATCTTAATAATATCTAAGAAATCATGACCAAGTATATAATGAGTTTAACAAGAGTTGGTTAACCTGTTGCCCTGAGAAGCTGCAAAAAAAAAAAATCCAGGTTGGGTTCAAATTCCGTAAATATAACTTTTCTTACTTGTCTAGAGTAATGTGTTTACAAGATGCTATTGGCTGAGTTCACACTGCTGTGCAGCATTTAGAAAGTTAGGATGTGAGTATATTTACAAAAAGCATTGCCGGGGGGGGGGGGGGGGTGTTATACTTATGAACCAAGCAACTTTTTAAAGCCAAGCTGAAGTCATAAATTTCTGTAGTTTTAATCATTAGAGACATGTTATATAATATATTTTACACCCCACATGTCATTTAATGCTTTACTAAGTTCATGTTTAGTGAATCCTTTCTTTATATATCTTTATATATGTAAAGAAACAGTTTTCAATGTGCATAAATAAATTTGTATAAATTTATTAGTGACCCAGGTATAAATTTGCCCCCCCCCCCCCCCCCCCCCCCCCCCCAGGATTTTCGGGAACTGCCATAGGATTTTGGTTTGTGTGTGTGTGTATGCATACATGGATAATAAGGTTAGGAGCCTAAGCTCCGCTTAGAAAGATGCAAGTCAGAATTAAACATTCCTATTATATACCCCTATAACTCTTGCTAAAAGTAGAAACCATAATTGAATTGAATGAATTATTTCGCGTCCACATACAGACAAACAAATGACTTACATGGAAAGGTCTTACACAGTTCCTCAATAGGAGTGGACATTTTTTTCTCACTGATACGCTCATACTTCTGTCTTTTGGTTGCTGCCTTGAGACCTTGCCAGGGTAAACTTCCTCGCAAAAAGTACATGAACACGTAGCCTAAGGATTCCATATCATCCCGTCGGCTTTGTTCTGTTGGCAAAAATATTAATTTATATATATATATATATATATATATATATATATATATATATATATATATATATATATATATATATATATATATATATATATATATATATATAGCAACTTGGAGCACAATAAAAAGAGATGAAGCCTTATAACACATTTTCAAAAAGTCTTATGACTAATCTTTGGACTCATAAATGATGCAAACAGCTGGGAATGGAGAGTGAGAAGCAGCAACAAAATTCATAATCTGTTTGAATCACCACTGATCACTGGCGTCATGAGAGCTAACAGACTGAAATTGTTGGGGCATACTAAAAGAATGTCAGATGACAGACAGGTAAAAACTTTATACACAAGGGAGCTGAATGGTCACAAACCATGAGGCACCCCAAGAAAACTATGGAGAGATAATATCCAGACAGACCTATGAATACTATGAATACTTGCTGCCACTATTAACTGGAAAGAGAAGGCTGATCAGAGAGATGAATGGAGGCTAGTGGTATCAGCAGTAATGAACCCCAAGGGCTAAAAATGGTGAAGAAGAAGAAGATATGGAAGAAAAGGACTGCATTTCCTTCAGATATGATACTTTACATTCAAATCGATGAAGGTTTAGTATGTTCTATTTTCAAACACACAAAAATTCAATGAAATACTTCAAGAAGTTATATATCATATGTTAAATTTTTAGAAGTAAAGTTCTTTAGACACATTTTTTTTGTAAAAGTCAAACCTGGAGGGCCTCACCCGGTCCAAGTAGGGAAATGAGACAGAAATAATAAAGGGGAAGACATGTAACAATTTGGATGTCACAACTATATGTGTTATGTCTTCAGAAAAAAAAAAACAATATGGAGGTCATCACTTTACATGTTATAGATATAAAACATTACGAACATAATTTCTTCTTTCGTCCTGCAGTTTATGCCGTAAAGTGTCACAAAGAAGAGTTATAGTTTTCTTCTGTCTTTTGTTAGTAACCTAGCTTGTGGTAATGTCATACTGCGTTTCTGAAGTGTCTCTTTTACTCCCTCTGCCCATCTATTTCTTGGTCGGCCTCATGCCTTGTAGCCTGCTGTTCTTATGTAATATGCTCTAGCTGCTGGCTGATTTTCATTCTGACCAGATGACTAAACCATTTAATTATTTGATGCTCAATGAAATTATTTACAGGTACTGTGACTTTAGAACTTCATGTTATAATTTTAAGATGGACCCAGAATAAATGAGTAAACAATCATTTTACCGCCCCCGGCATCACAATTATAAGAAGTTTAGTTCACATTTAAAACCACCAGACCATCACTTGTACTCACCTATACCTAAGTGGGTGTTGATGCTGGCATACCGGGCAGTGCCTGTGAGGTTCTTGTTCTCCCTGTAGGGTATATGTTGGTGTGTCCGTGCATCACGGTACTTTTTGGCTAGTCCAAAGTCTATAATGTACACTAGATTGCCCTTCTTCCCAAGACCCATGAGAAAATTGTCTGGCTTCACATCTCGGTGGATGAAATTTTTAGAATGGATATATTCTATTCTGCTTATCTGCAAAGTTAATTTACAGAATAATTATTACACTGCCCAATCAGAGGAATATGTTTTTATCTGAACACTGTTAATCTAGTTAACTGGATTCTTTCAATAACAAAACAAAAAAGTCTGTTGCATCCTTTACAGGACATTGCAGAACCAATCCCAGCATTTGTTGGCTGTTGTGGTTTTTCTAGGCAAATTTAACATTCACAGTTTGCCACTGCTTTCTGTGCGGTTGCTCTCTATACCACTGTCAAAACCAATGCAAGACGAATCGTCCGCAGCAGGGATCGAATCCGGCATTACGAAGTGCATTCGCAACCCCTAGGCTACAGCTGCAAACTTCAATAAAATGTAATTTTAACTCATATGATTCCATGTTGTAGTTACCTTAAGACTGTTGATTCCTCATTTCTCTGGAAGATGTGCACTATGACTTTAGAGGTAATCAGTTGACCTTTATGACATGCTTGTTGGAGGGCAGAGTTTATTATTATTTTCCCCCTCCATCCCAAATGGGGCATTGGAACCAACATGAGTGCTAATGCTTCAGACATATTTTATCATGTTGACAATCATGCTTACTTCAACCCCTCCCCAAAACCACATGACTTTTTATTTTACTTGGTTTACTGACTGGATAAATCTTTTTGCAGACGTGAGTTTCAACTGCAAGCCATACAGTCTCTGTCATCATAACCTTGAAAATAGCTTCTATATTTCTGAGTAAGATTGATCTAGACTTTAATCATGAACCAAAAACAAAGTAACACCTCCAAAAAGACAATGTTGCAGAGTTCTCTTTCCCCTCTCCCTTTTCAGCAATCTGCCAGAAGTGTCCTGAAACTTGTTATTGAAACTTCAGAGCTGCGGAGAGACATGGTGATCTATATGGCCACATTGTAGACCCAGTGTATGGAATGCTGAATCACAAAGGAGCAAGTGTAAAAGTGTGAGTTAGTCCTAGTCTTGCCATCAAAGTTAAACATTTCTAAGAATGTCCTAAACTTAAGACATGGAAAAATTGTCACCAACTCACCAACTGATCTGCCAGAAGCAGAACTGTTTTAAGGCTAAATTTGCGTGAGCAAAAGTTGAACAGATCCTCTAGGCTGGGGCCGAGAAGTTCCATGACCATGACATTGTAGTCTCCCTCTGCTCCGCACCACTTGATGGTCGGGATACCGACTGAAGAAGATGAAAACACATACACTTAGAGCACAGCAGAACTAAATATAAAAAGACATCAGTTAATATTCTGTTTTCACACAAAGTCAACATACACACACACACACGCAAAGAGAGAGAGAGAGAGAGAGGGGGAGGGAGAGAGACAGACAGACAGACTAAAGGACTTTTTTCATGCCAGTGGCCCAACAGGCATGTGATGCCGGACTCAGTTTTATAGGTTGACTTACTTTTGATGGGTGATGTAGCCAATATCATATCTTTATTTCCTAGTATCCATTGTAGACTGTATCAACCATGGAGTCATGAGTGGGTTTGAAACCAGGACCTTTGATCTGGCAAGTAAGTGTCTAGCCACTGTGCCATCACAGGCCCCACGTATGTATGTATACAAAGTAACACTAGTCCTATAGCAGATACTGCCCTTGGGATGTCAACTGTTAGCTCTAATATATATTTATATCTAGTCCAGGACAACTGAGGTGAGTGGTCAATTTTCTTTCTTTATATTTCCTTCTCAGACAATTCCCAGAAAAATAAGTGTGAGGCCCCTTTCTATGGGGCAGGGTCAACCCTGGGTTCTTTGGGTCACAACAATAATCCTGCTCTGTTAGGGGTTGAACTGGAAAAATTGGGACATACACACATAAATGTATATGTGTGCATATAAGATGAGGCTTCTTCTTACTTAGTTCATTTGTGTACCAATACAAAACCTCTAGACTACCCCAAAAAAAAAAAAAAAACATCCAACGTCAGATACACTGAGCTGAAGTGCTTGATGAACGAGGGCCTCATTACTTTCATCACGATGTTTGGCACTGTATAACTGTCTCAAAGGCAAGAAATACTTGCCTGTTTGAAAGTAAATAAGTAAAGGACCCTTTTCCATGCCTTTAGGTGTAAAGGGGGCATAGGGCTAGACCTATATTTTTATAGACCAATCGGCCTAGGGTGATGTGGTCAGCATCACGCCAGCCGCCTTTACTTTTCCGGGATTGCACCCGGTACCCACTCAAGAGTGGGTTGACCTGAGAGCCAAGGTCATTATTGAAAACAGTCCGGCTCCGCCAGGGAGCGAACCCACGACCTTCTGATCCGCGGCGAGCGTCTAGTCGCTTGGCCACGGCGACTCCCCTTGTTTGAAAAATGAGCCACACATAGAAAGATCAATATCTGTGTGTGCAGCCCAATCATCTAGTGAACAAATCAGACTGCAAGAAATGCCACATCTCTACAAGAGAGAAGGAAAGAGCAAATGGTCTATTTTTGATTTCAGTTTTCATCCCAGCATTGTTCTATGGCAGGGGTATCTGCTGGGATATATTTTCCAGGCTTATGACTAAAAACCACTTGCCACATCAGTGACTGTAGTGCACAGGCCAGGATTTTCTTTGTGTGAGCCCAAGCTTCACCAATGACTAAACACAAGTTCATTTGCTGTACAAGGTAAACATTATGACCATTTTGGCATCCATTCAGCACAAAAGAAACATTTCTGGCAGAATGACTCCACCCCGAAAATCAAAGTGGATGTGAGGAAACAAGCCCTACTAAATTACAAACACATACAAACTATAGCTTCCAGTGGAAGTTTAACAAAGAACCTATAATGATGTTACAAATATTTCAGTGAAGAACACCGACACAATTAAAATGAGATGGGCACCAGGAGAAGTTCTGAGAAGTAAAGGTAGGTGGTGTGATATTGGCCACATCACTCAGTGTCAATTAGTCAATAATAAGGGACTGAAAGGGAGATACCTAATTCATGGAAAAAGGTTCTTTAACTATTTGAAAACTTATTCGCAGCTCAAGCAAGTCTGGGATCTAATCAAACAAAGCATGTGTGCACTCACTAGGATAGCCTGAGCCAGTACTCAGCAGCAGCTTGCAGAAAGTTTCAACCAGCAAGCTTCAACCAGAAAGATTCAACCAGCAAAATTCAACCAGAATGATTCAGCCAGAAAGCTTCAACCAGAAAGCTACAACCAGAAAGATTTAACCAGCAAGCTTCAACCAGCAAGCTTCAACCAGCAAGCTACAACCAGCAAGCTTCAACCAGAAAGATTCAACCAGCAAGCTACAACCAGCAAGCTACAACCAGAAAGATTCAACCAGCAAGCTTTAACCAGCAAGTTTTAACCAGAAAGCTTCAACCAGCAAGCTTCAACCAGAAAGCTTCAACCAGAAAGCTTCAACCAGAAAGATTCAACCAGCAAGCACCACTGAGATAGCATGAGCCAGCACTTAGTACTAGCATGTACTCACTGAGATAGCATGAGCCAGCACTTAGTACCAGCATGTACTCACTGAAATAGAATGAGCCAGCACTGAGTACCAGCATGTACTCATTGAAACAGCATTAGTACAAGGATGCATTCACTGAGATAGCATAAGCCATCACTTAGTACCAGCATGCCCTCATTGAGGATGAGCTAGTACTCATTCCCAACATGCACTCACTGAGATAGCATGAGCTAGCACTGAGTACCAGCATGCACTCATTGAAATAGCATGAGTACAAGGATGCACTCACTGAGATAGCATAAGCCAGCACCGAGTACCAGCATGCACTCATTGAAATAGCATGAGTACAAGGATGCACTCACTGAGATAGCATGAGCCAGCACTGAGTATCAGCATGCACTCATTGAAATAGCATGAGTACAAGGATGCACTCACTGAGATAGCATGAGCCAGCACCGAGTACCAGCATGCACTCACTGAGATAGCATGAGCCAGCACTGAGTACCAGCATGCTCTCATTGAAATAGCATGAGTACAAGGATGCACTCACTGAGATAGCATGAGCCAGCACTGAGTACCAGCATGCACTCATTGAAATAGCATGAGTACAAGGATGCACTCACTGAGATGGCATGAGCCAGCACCGAGTACCAGCATGGCACTCATTGAAATAGCATGTGTACAAGGATGCACTCACTGAGATAGCATGAGCCAGCACGAACTAGCACTCGATGTCAGCAAACATTCAAGCATATCCAGCAGTGTATGCTTCCACCAATCCACATGTTAGAACACACACACAATATTGTGTCCGCATGTGGTGAAACAACTATTTTAGCATGCACTCACACGTACATACATTCTATAAATATGCTATCACATTTGTTCTGTAAGCAGGCACACACATACATCAGCAATGTTAGAATACTCTACTCACACATCCTTTATTTAAGCATGTGTTTATACGAGTGTGGTCAAGACAGCCAAGTCATGTGCCACTCACACCCGCAGCCACACCGTGTATTCACTAATGTTAAACACATTCAAGTAACTTCTGCATGCTGGTTAAAGGTAAAACACTTGCAACAACAGAAAACAACTTATAAATGATTCCATAAAAGTTGAATCTGAAAAGAAAACAACGTAAAGATAGTAAATTTTATATCTAACTTTGGTCTGCAGTTCTGACATCAACAATTAAATGGTCACTACTGTCTTTTCTAGCACTTTTTAGGGCGGTGAAGATAGGGGGTTGTGAGCCTGAGGATTCAGGGCCGCAAGGCTAGTACTCTCACCATGGACAGTACTGGTTACGATGTTTACTTTTTCCCCTGACAGAAAAACATCACCCCACCAGGGGTTGAACCTCGGTCTCCCACATGAGAGCCCAAGGTAATCCCCATCAAAACAGGTAGTTTGACAATGATCAGGGTTCACAGGTCCAGCAAATATATTTAGTCCAGAGATTAAAAAATTCCCTTCGAACCATATTTAAAAAAGTGTTTCTGCTGACACAAAAATTCTTCCACGAGGTTTGAGGATGGATTTCTAAACAAGCTGCTCAACCTCAAATGCAAAGAAATAAGAGAATACCTTAGACATTGTAATGAAGAATGAAAATGGATGCAATGACGTCACTATATGCAATGCTGTCATTATGTCCCTTAGTTGCCAGAAGGGCTTGGCAAAAGAAATACTCCCCCTCTCGTTATTCGATCGGATGTTGAACACATCACTCATCAAGTCCTGACTGGTATATTAAAATATAAGCCTAGAACAAGGCTATTAAACTGGCGGCCCTGCATAGGCCTAGCATGTGGCCCGCGGATGATCTCCACTTGTATTAATGATCTATGCTTGGGCTCAGATTCAAAACTTTAGCCTCTGTGTAAATTTAACTTAACAGCCCTGGTCTAGAGTCTTATTCCCAATGCACTGCTGGTGTGGACAGGGATATTTACTTCTGTCATTGAATATATAAGTATATGAGGAGAAACTAGGTGATGTACCTTGAGCGCTCTCCATAGTGACGATCTCGCCACCTGCAGTGCTATAGGAAACCTGTTTACTACACAGTTCAGAATGCAGACAGCACATTACATGACTAGCAATTGAGTAAGATAGTACAGATCAACATCTCTAACCGTTTTTTCTCACCAAACCTTCAAAAGACTAAAATTATCAGTGCATGGTAGACAGACAGAGCAGGAAGAAATCCCCAAGTTTCTTAGGAAACTACTACTTTAAAAGGGATTTTATAGTTATCTTCAACATCTGCTTATACATGTTTATATTAACATTGCTTTTCCACAAAACCTGCCTCTACAGACTGCTTGGTCATCAACAGTGTGTGTGTCAAAGTTACAGGCAAATGTTCACAAGCAGCAGGAATTCAGAAGCATGAACATCCTCCAGGACAGACTAATCGATGTATGCTGCTTTATGTGGCTAGAAAGTACTGAGCTCTTCTTCTTCTTTGTTCACCGACTGTAAGCTCGGAGGGGAAAGTACGGGTTGTTGGTCAATTTGGATTTTAGATTTGTGCCAGGGCCTGAGCTTTGTGTGTACATCCCTTTTTCTGGCTTATTTGATGTGTAGTTCTTTGTTCCTTGCGCTCGGGCAGATGCATTCTGACAGAAGGAAGCTCCCAATTAGTCGACTGTTATTTACATGCTGTTACTGTTTACTGTTGGAACAACGGATCAACTTCATGGCATCAGAGTGGTAAGTGCTCCATTCTACTTCTAACTCAAGCCTGAGTCTAAAGAATCTCAGGGTAGTGCACAAACTCTGTAGCACTGGCGAGGATCTTAAAATACTTTTGAAAAGATTTTTAACTAAAATTTTGCCCAGCCATTAGGCTACTCTTTTCAATTGCCAATGACAGGTTTTTTTTTTCATGCGCACTAATACACATAGGCGTCTAATCTCACTACGCAGAAACTAGGGGAAATTACTAGAGGTCTACGTGAAAAAAATACCAGCCTTCACAGGGACTGAACCCAGGACCTCTAGTACTTTAAGGCGGTAGCTATGCCTCGAGACCACTCAGTCCCACAATGGCGTCCCGGAACCCATAAGAGTGAGCTCAAAATTACAAGACTCCTCTCTTAGTGACGAGTAAAATGACTGTAGTTATACTAACTACTTGAATGCTAACAAGAGAAGGAGAATGTCTGTAGTATTTCATTAATCAGCATTGAAGTAAACAAGCTACATTTGTTTTGTTTTTTAACCCACCGTTAAACTGCTTGAAGTTTATCAATTTTAGCAGCATATTGCAGCACTGAGAACAAATTGCTTTGATTTCAGTGGCAGTTGGCAGTTTTTCCTGGAATTAGTACGCTTTATTTTCCCTAAACTATGCAAGAACTTCTGAACGCATTTGTATACGATAAATTTACAGGGAGTACACATTAAGAAATTACAAACATGTATAATAGATTATGACATCCAATAGCAGATTATAACATTTAACAAGATATAATGACTTCATACATTCATCGCATACAATGAAGAAGATGCTAACAAAAAAATACACAAGAATATACTGTGCAACAATGAAGCAATGTGCAATAACACTAGGTAGTTTTTCAACAAGTTAATGCAGTTGTTAACAGGGTAACATTTGCTTTTATCGCAATACTAGCATCACTAAGAGACCAGCCTAGCAGTGAAACAACTTCTACAATTTTCTCAACATTTTACACTCATAATAAACAGAGTACTACCAGATATATGTGCTGTTGTTAGGATACTTAATTACGTAGAAAGGTTTTTTTTTATATGTTACTTATGCGATGGACACATACTGAAAACTACTTTGTGTAACATTCATACCTTCTGCTGAGTCACATGTGCATTTGTTCCTTCTGCTTATGTATGTGTGTGTATGTGTATGCTAATTATAGACAACAACAACAGAAGCTCACAGGACAGATTTCTAGAAGACTTCTATATTGTCTTTATTTTATTAAGACTATAAAAGACTAAAATTGTACCCCGGAATTTGAACTATATATTTTTGTAACATATTTTTCAAAACAAAAGAATTCAATTATAAAAGAGAGTGGCAACAAATATATATCTGTTCTGACAAAATGTGTCTTCTCTATAAACAGTGGAAGCATGAAAAATGTCTCTACAATGCACAAAAACCATCCCCCAAAAACACAATCAACCCAACACTTTAAATTAAAACATGGAAACATAAAACTTAAAACACACAGTAAACCCCTGTTAGGCTTCCAGGCTGGACTGACAGTATTCACTCCATTAAGGTAGGCAATACCTGTTAAAAAATCGGTGTTAATGAAGCTTGGCCTAAGGTACAGTCCTAACAACTACGGGAGACATGTGCGACTTACCACCTCCTTGCATCATGCGGTAGATCTTGCTCTCGATATGCAACTGTGGATGCTTGGTTTTGACACATTCTAACTTGATAGCCACCTCTTCACCGTTAGAAATATCTGTGCCTGTGATACAGCAATACAAGTGTGTTCGTCACTTACATCAATATATTATATACTTCCCCGTCAACATCAGAGAAACTAAAATATCATATCTTTATGATTAGGGCGGCCAGAAGAGCAAGAAGCAGACTTATATCTCCCTCGACACCTGAAGCTGTGAAAGAAGAACTAAAGAAACAGAAGAAGAAGATATGAGTGCATTATAAGCAGCATACACAAAAGACAAGCAAAACAAGAACAATTGAGCAAAACAAGAACAATTGAGCAAAACAAGAACAAATGAGCAAAACAAGAACAGATAGGCAACATAAGAACAGATGGTCAACGCAAAAACAAAAGGCCAACATAAGAATAGATGAGTGATAGAAGAACAGATGAAGAAAAGAACAACAAAGTTACACACTACCCCAGGAAGTGGCTGATGAGGAAGTATTGCAAACATATTTCAAGACCTATGATGGCGACAAGGGTCCTGAAATCCTAAGCTCTAACTGTGAAAGACTTTCCTGAACGCAAGCTGGTCTTGCCAGTTACATCACTGTCGCCTGCCACTCCCATGCCTCTCTACAGCAAAATTTAACACTAATCGTCTGGAAAGACAGAAAAGTGCCACCATTTTAAGTTTGATGAGATAAATGTTTTTATCAGGCAACATCTTTCAACACTAACAAGCATGTTGTAAAAGTTGACTAATTAGGGTTGCTTCCTTAAGAGTCAGGGTGCATTTGCCTAAAGGCAAGGAACCAACAGATTGGATGCAAATAAACTAGACCTGTAAAATTAATGTACACGCGAAATTTAAAGTTCTAGAACAAGATGAAAGCTCAGAAGAGGACAAACAACCAGAACTTTCTGCCTGGGTTTACAGCTAGTCGTGATATTGTGAACCGAGAACAAAAAACCTCTAATGTGCCCGAGTTAAAGAAACCTTTTTTGGATATTAGATGGCACCAGAAATATTATATCAACAAAGAATGGAGAGAACATAGACAGAGCTAACTGAGATGCAAAATGACACAACATAAGAGGGATTGGTGGCAGGGGATACAAATGGCTTCAGTTGATTGAAAGAACTAGGCTATCCTCCGAATAACGGTCCCAAATTATCGAGGCCGAAAATATACCCTAACAGGGCCTCAGTCACATGTCAATTGCGTACTTTCGGCAACTACCGCCACCGCCCAAGAGTATCTTCCACGCCGCTATGCTCGGCTTGTCGTCGTGGAGTGGGGCTAAACTAGATGGCTGAGACTCACGAGCAAATTAAAGGAAGCTGTTGGAGATGCGGTAGCTGCTGCTCATGAGCCCCAGCCATCTAGTTTAGCCCCGCTCCACGCCACGTGTAGCGGCGTGGGAGATACTTTCTGCGGTGGCAGTAGTCGCCGGAAGTCCACAACTGACATGTGACTGAGGCCCTGTTAGGGTATATTTTCGGCCTCGATAACTTGGGACCGTTATTTGGAGGATGGCCAAGAACTATTTCTAAAGGAGAACAAGGAAAAGAAGAAAGAGTGTGGATATTGACAGGTGTAATGAAAATGATTAAATAAAAAATGTTTTACAATTCTTTAAGTTGTCATTTACTGAATTTATGCATCCTCAGTGTTTCAATGATAGATGCTTTCAAAGCTAGAATATCAGCTCTCTCCTGCCCATGCATACAACAGTATGTGGATTGCCTTCCTACAAGCCCCAATTATAATTTATTTTGAGGCTGAATGGGCTGGGACTGCCCCATGTTGGTCTACCATCTAGACTGAGATTCTATTCTGAGGGTGTCAAACCTCCAGGTAGCAACCTAGGAGGGGGTGGGGGGGGGTGTGAGTTATCTGACAGGAGTCAGTGTGCTGGGGCTCCTACGGCAACAATCACTCCCATGATATTTATATGTTTAAACATTTTATAAAGCGATTATTCAGTATTCAGCACCGGTCTTCTTAGTTCAAAAATCAACTTAATATAAAAAAAAGGTTACAAAATAAAGCATAAACCATTGTCAGGTGACTTTTAAATAGCTAGACTAACATTTGATAATTTTAACAACATAATTTACTAAATGTAGTACAGTACACTGCTAAATAATTCATAATACTGTGAAGCTCCTATGGTATTTACATTCATAATACAATTTAGCAACTTGACAAGTCAGTACTAGTTAAATTTATTTTCTACACAAGAAAGCTGTCAAATTGTAAAAAAAATGATCACTGAGGATGTCCAAAACAAGCTACATAAACACCACCATACATTAGAGTCATTGTAATTAATACTAATAATACATAGATGTGTACAACATATTTTGTTGAAAATGGTCACTGCTGGCGTGAAGGTCCAGTAATGTGTGGTCATTTATTCTACACTTGTCTTCAGGGTGTTAGACGGTTATCCATTTTAACTGCCACTAAACAACAATTAAAACAAAGACAAGAACAAGACTTAGACAGATGAGATAGGCGGACACGTATTTGGCAATTTATTATGACCAAAATTCTGGTCTGATTATTTTAATTTCTGTAATACTTACCAAGATAAATATCACCAAAAGAACCACTCCCAATCTTTCTGCCAAGCCTGTACTTGTTCCCGACCCGCAACTCCATCTTCCTAAAAACAAAAAGACATCGGTGTCGGACCGTTATTTCCTGATTCGATCTGGGTGTCAAGCAACACAATGAAATATAAACAAATTTCTTCAATAGTACTAGACACTGAAAATTCGTCACAAAATCTCACCCTGTGACGTAGTATCTCCCAATAACCCTCTTCTTGGGTCGGAAGATGAATAGTTGATATTAAAATCTCATTAATTCTACAAATGATTAAAGGACACAGAAGGATGCCAAGGATTATATCAGCTATATTTTCCTATTCCAGCCGCCATTTTATTTACTTTTGGTTGCTTGAGGTCTACGCAGGCGCTTACATTCGCTTCCGGCACTGAAACCCGTCCTACCACCCCTTCTGATGTTAAGAAGTTAAGCTCGCCTGTTATAGACCCTACACATAACTGGATGGGTTCATTCCTCAGAACTGGTGAACTCACTTTCTTTTTTGTTTGTGTGCTCACCCAGTGACCTGGATAAACGATTACAACTAGTAGTTATGATTAATCATGAATGTGCTGGGTAATTCTTTTATTACTAATCAGCAACATGAAACACATGTGGCAGCCGTTTCGATCAGTCTAGTTTAAAGTTCACCCTGGATTTATTCATGTGTGACTGCAGTACGCGCAGAATGAGATATTTATATACATTGGTTGCTTACGCATACATGAGTAATTTCCCAAGTCATATATCTCCTCAGAATCGCCGCATGGCGTCTTTTCCTTTCCCTCGATTATTAACAGTATATTCTTTTAATATAAAGTTACACTTTACTGATTTTGGCACGGCGATTGAAATTCGTGTATCCAGGTCTTCAGACTCGGGGCTGCATTCACTCCTGACAATCGCGACATTAGGGATGTGAAAACCACCCAGCTAGCAGAATCGAGGAAAACTAAAAGGCGTAGGAACCTATATGACGACACTGGGAAAGACCAGGCCTGTTGCCAATACAGATATGAATAGATCACGAACACAGTCATATGTCAAGATTTTCTTCAGGTATAACTCATTATGTAGGTTTCCAAACCTGTTCGGACTGCATTTACTCCAGGTGATCGTTCATCTGGTATACATACGCCCGGCTCTCTAGCGTATTTGGCTAAACCGGATTGCGCGGAGACCGGGTGACGAACTCCTTGTGGTCCGGGTTCAATCCCGGGGGTAGGCAGGAAAGCCACATTTTCTCCCAGATTTACGGTATTTACAATGGTATCAAGGCCGAAGGGTTGTTATGTCCATAATACCGAGCCTAAGGGTTAACAACTCATGGCTTCTGGATACTAAAACAACTGGTATGCATACACGCAGGCGCGCCAGTACACAAGAAACAAATTTGATTGTAGGGGGACTGCTCAGCCCTGGATTCCCTTGCATTACACATTTTCTCGAAAAGAGGAACTTCAGAAGGCATAATCCTAGTTTAAAAGTATAATAATAGCAAAAATAAACAGTTTATTTTCAAGAGGTTAGATGTCTGTGCCCACCCCAAGCCCTAACAATTTGAGACCCTCAAAGAACGTTGAATGTTGATTTAAGAATCGACATCTCAGCACTCGGGACACTCATAAGCGCTCCGTCCCATACAAACTCTAGAGGCTAAACCTACTAACAGCACTAAGTCTTACACAGTCTGAGTTGTCAACATAGGTAGAAGCTCAAAGCAGTGGATTCCATTTCATGGCGACATCAAAGGCAAAAGCCAAAGAAAGTAGCGCGAATGAGCGCTTTTTCTATTCTTCTTCGTCTTCTTCTTTTTCTTCTTCTTCTTCTTTTTCTTCTTCTTCTTTTTCTTCTTCTTTTTCTTCTTCTTCTTCTTCATCTGTCTTCTTCTTCTTCTTCTTCTTCTTCTTCTTCTTCCTTTTGTTCACCGGCTGTAATCTCCAACAGACAGTTCTGGTTGTTCGTCCACTTCTGGACTTGAATCTTGTTCCAAAACCTGAGTGTTGCATAGACATCCGCTTTAAAAATCTGATTTTTTTTTTTTTAATGCAGAATGTTGCTTTCTTGCCTCTCAGGCAGATGCACTCTGACTTCTAAGAAGGCGCTAATTAGTCAACTCTTACGACATGCTTGTTGGGGAGGCAGTGGGTCTATTCTTGTTTCCCCCACAAGGAGGATCAGGAACCCACACGGGGACTATACACTCTTAAACATATGGATATTGGAAATATATCGTCTTTTGATTATTTTTTTTTCAAAGGAAGTAATAAAGAATGTGTTTTGAAAATCATATCAATTATATTACATCTTCTAAAAGGCTGTAAGTTGTTACTTAAACTTTTTTTTCTTGAAAAAGGAACTTTTTTTTTTTTTTAAGCCGCTGCAATTTGGGATCTCTTAGTTTTAGCTTGTTTGGCTTATGCCTAAATCTAGTACTGTACTATCTTTTCCAGAAGTGAAAACTTTCATAAAGAGACAATTCAAACACAGTGGAAAGCAAGCAGTGGTTAAAACCATGAAAATATTGTCCTCGATGGTCTGAAAAAAAACAAAAGCCCAGACCAAGCCACAATTTTTCGCCTCTGCAAACTCAACAATCACTTAAATAAATTATCATATAAAATAGATTTGAGCCTGACAGCTATAAGCCAGTGTCTTCTTGATTAACTGACCTTAGAACTTGTCTTACAAGTCTGTTCTTTCCTGCAGGAGCTGTGAAGCAGCACGTAGCCACACTCAGTAGACCTAAAAACTAAACTTTTGGGAAGCCCATGAGACCTTGAGATGGCATCCCATTTTATGACCCATAGTTGATATAAGTACATGATCCGAGATCACCGAAAGAAGTAGAAGCACATGTTTGATATTACAGTTGACAGTGTTAAGATCAACCGACTCCTCTCTATACGCATGAGCAATAGTAGCCAACAGATGGTACAACGCAGCTCACTCCCATTCCTATCTCACTGTGATACACATACCTACACTCACGTTTGCACACTAAGGGATTTATTCATTTAGCGTGATCAAGAAAGTTGAGGCAGATGTCGCATACAAGCATAAACTGATTTCAGCATTGGCTCACATTTATTAACATTAGGTTTATCTCTCTCGCACATATCTTTGTATTGTAGTTAAAGTCGACATTGATATCTTCAATGCAAGACTGTAGCTCACATGCGTGTAGTTATAACTTCTTTAGAGATCCCGTGGGCTGCCAACAAAACTGACGAACACGTTATCCAGGCGAGATTTGTAATATAATACTTTATGCCTCTAAGAAATATGTGGTACCTTACTTTCATAAATCATTAAGGTTTACGATAGGCAGTGACGCCAACACACACACACATTGTGGGGGGTGGGGGAGGAGGGGTTGTTCAAGGCATGCTTTACGTGCGTAATAATAATAATAATAAAAATACCCTGAAAGGCAAATAAATACATATATTTGAAATACTGACTCATCTGCATGCTGGTTCCTTGCCTCTCAGGCAGATGTATTGTAATAATGTTCCTAGCCTCACAATTAATAACAGTAACATCAAAAGAGAAAGCAAACTGAGGTACCTAGTATCATTTTTGATAGAAGCTTATCCTTCAGGAATCATGTAAAGACAGTTGTGGTGAAATGATAAAAAGGACTCAGTGCTCTCAAGATTATGTCAGCAATGGACATGGAACAAAGAATGCTGTTCACAATGTTCCAGCATGTGATCCTGTCGGTGAAAGATTATGGACTTGGAATGCTTACCATATCAAAGAGTCAGCTGATGAAACTAAAACGAATTCAGAATGAAGCCATGCGGGTGATTCTGGGATGCACAAAAGATACCCCGGTATGTATGCGATATATGCTTGTACTGCCTTCTACTGCACATAGGCACAATGTTCTGCAAGCAAAGTCATATCTTAGAGTAGCTGCAGACAAAAAGCACCTCCTGCATGAACCCTGGGTAGAGAGCTAAGAGTCACAGACTGAAAAGAGGAAGGTCTTGGATGGCGCAAGCTGAAGACACAACCAGGCTTTTGTGGAGGCTTGATAAATTTGTGCAATGTAAGGAGTGAATTAAAGAGTGTCTGAGCAAGTTTCAGACTTGTGTAAGGTTCTTGTCACTTTGGATCGTGAGTGCAGGGACTGGCCAGCTGGCGCTGTAGAACCAGAATTTCAACAAATGATCCATGACAATTCCCGCTTAAGTGATGTGATTATCTGTACAGATGGCTCTGTGCTGAAGAGCAGACGAAGTGCACGGGGGTTTATAGTAGAAGAGAATGGACGTCATTTAGTGCAACAAAGCCTCGCATATGATATCACAATGTCTAGTTAAAGAATGGTGGTGGAGGCAACCACTGCTTCATTCCGCTGGCTTGAGAATTAGCTGTTCACACATACCGTGATTTTAACTGACTCACAGAGCATGCTGAGAAAGGCGGAGACAGGTATGCTCCGTGCAGAGTGGCAAGCATCACTTCAGAGGTCCTGGTTAGTGAGCATCTTTTAATACTCTCTGCAGGTCATGGCGGTGTATTGGGAAATGAGCAGGTAGACAGATTATCTGCACCACTTGGTGGTGAATTGATGTATGACAAGCTAGATGTTGTAAGGACCATTCTGGGAGCGAGTGAACAGTGCGGAAGCGCACCTACATCATTTCGGTCTGAGGAGAATGGCGCTGCGAGGAGTTACCTGTGGATCTGACCGACGCTCAACATTCATGGAAAAGGCGAGACGGATATACAGTCAGACTGTTACTGGTGCCATCAGAATTTGAACTCTTCTTTTGCTGCAAAAGATGCAGACGGAGCGCTTATGGGAGTGTCCCGAATGCTCTGATGTAGATTCTTAAATCAACATTTAACGCTCTTTGAGGGCCCCAAATTGTTAGGGCTTGGGGTGGCTCAGACATTTAACCACTTGAAAATTAATTGTTTATTCCAATTATTATGCTTTCAAACGGGTAAAGTAAATGACGTAAATAGAGGGTGCCTGCAGTCGAGCTGATAACAAGAAACGCTAAACACAGGTATAACAGAAAATGTGAACATTA